CTTCATTAAATCTTGTATGGTCTATTCTTAGGAGGTACTTGTCAGGAAGATTAGATGGACCAAAATCCCACTGGGAACAGATTGCTTATACTTGGTCAGTTTAGACTGGTTTTTGTGTTCAAGGGAAGATGACAGTGAACTTCTCCAGAAGAGTGAGAAGTGGTAGTGGGTTGTGTCAATCTCTCTCTCTCTCTCTCTCTCTCTCTCTCTCTCTCTCTCTCTCTCTCTCTCTCTCTCCAAGGAAGGGAACCCAGAGGTGCATTTATGTCCTTAGCACCTCAAGATTTTTTAAAATCGCCTGCAACTAAGTGTTCAACATTTTACCCCCAAATAATGGATCCTTTAAACTCTACAAAATCTTTACCTCAAACAACCTGAGATTTGTTAACTTTCAGTAACAGATGACTGTCTATAAATATTTTTATTGTACATAGGATGTTGTGAGAATTTATTTAATCTGCCTGATTAAATGGCTTCTTTTAAAATGTGATATATATATATATATATATATATATAAATATATATATATGTAATGGAATTCTATGCCTCCATCAGAAAGAATGATATCGCCCCATTTGTTAGGAAATGGAAAGACTTGGAAAAAATTATATTAAGTGAAGTAAGCCAGGCCCAAAGAAACATAGGTCTTATGGTTTCCCTTATTTGCAATAACTAGTATATGTCTGAGACAAGCAGAAAAGTTCAAAAGCTATGTACGTATGACCTGATAAGATGATGTTAAGTGAAATGAACCCAAAGATAGGGACACACGTGGTTTTTTTCTTTCTTGCTATTCCTAATGTATTTATAATGTATTATGTGAGTTTTTTGTTTCTTTGTATGTTCCTCCCCCATAGTACAACCCCTGTTTTCACTGTATTTGATGTCAGTACCCTGCATCTTGCATATACACTTCTCTAGCTTGGGGAGGGGAGAGAAAAAACAAAATGCTTAAATAGGGATACAGGTTGACCCATTGTAACAATGAGATGTACAAGACACTGTGTTGAAAAAGGAACTTTACAATTTAGGTGGGGAGGGAGAAGGCGGGAAGTGTAGTTGTGGAGGTGGGAAGGAAGGGAGGGTAGGGGAATAACAAAGGAGGAAGTATAACAATGCTTGATAGGAAATGTACTCATATAACTGTAACCCCTCTGTACAGTTTTTTTTAAAGAGTCTCATGGACTTTCCTGCCCGGGCTGGCTTTGAACCACTATCCTCAGATCTCAGCCTCCTGAGTACCTAGTATTACAGCTGTGAGCCAGCTTTGGGAGAAGCACAATGCCTGGGTGCAGTGGTATTTGCCTATCATCCACAGAGACATGGGGAGGCATAAGTAGGAGGATCACAAAACATTACCTGAAAAATAATCTGTACAAAAAGGAGGGCAACAAGGCTATCTACAAATTCAATGCGATACCTATCAAAATTCCAACGTCATTCTTCAAGGAAATAGAAGAGGCAATCCAAAAATTCATATGGAACAATAAAAGACCCCGAATAGCAAAAACGCTCCTCAACAGAAAGAACACTGCTGGAGGAATATCAATACCAAATTTCAAACTCTACTATAAAGCCATAGTAATCAAAACAGCTTGGTACTGGCACAAGAACAGACCTCAGGACCAATGGAATAGAATTGAAAACCCAGAAATGAACCTACAGACCTATAGCCATCTAATCTTCGATAAGGGAGCTAAAAAAAAATAGAATGGAAGAAAGACAGCCTCTTCAGTAAATGGTGCTGGCAAAATTGGTAACTACTTGTAGAAAACTAAAGTCTAGATCCTTATATATCACCCTGCACCAGAATCAACTCCAAAAGGATCAAAGACCTCGGAGTCAAAGCAGACACTCTGAAAACATTACAGCATGGAATAGAAGAAACCCTAGGTCTCCTTGGCTCCGGCCGAAATTTTCTTTTTTTTTTTTTTTTTTGTCGGTTTTGGGGCTTGAACTCTGGGCCTGGGCGCTGTCCCTCAGCTCTTCAGCTCAAGGCGAGTGCTCTACCACTTGAGCTACAGCGCCACTTCCGGTTTTCTGGTGGTTTATTGGAGCTAGAAGTCTCACGGTCTCTCCTGCCCGGGCTGGCTTTGAACCGCGATCCTCAGATCTCAGCCTCCTGAGTAGCTAGGATTATAGGCGTGAGCCACTGACGCCCGGCTAGGCCGAAATTTTCTTACTAGAGACCCAGAAACACAACAAATCAAAGAAAGGTTGGACAAATGGGATTGCATGAAGCTGCAGAGCTTCTGCATGGCAAAGGACATAGCTAGCAAGATCAATAGAAAGCCCACGGATTGGGAGAAGATCTTCACTAGCCATACAACGGACAAGGGTCTCATATCTAAAATATACTTCGAACTCAAAAAATTAAACCACCCAACAATAAATCCTCAAAGAAACAACTGCCCAATAAATAAGTGGGCGAAAGACTTAAAGAGAAGCTTCTCTGAAGAAGAAAGAAGGATGGCCAATAGACACATGAAGAAATGTTCAACATCCCTAGCCATAAAAGAAATGCAAATCAAAACAACATTGAGATACCACCTCACCCCAATTGGAATGGCTATAATCAAGAACTCTAACAACAACAGATGCTGGAGGGGATGTGGACAGAAGGGAACCTTACTGCATTGTTGGTGGGAGTGTGAACTTGTTCAACCACTTTGGAAAGTAGTATGGAGGATCCTCAAAAGACTCCACATAGAGCTCCCCTATGACCCAGCAATCCCACTTTTGGGCATTTACCCAAATGTTTACAAACAAGACCACACTAAAGCTACCAGCATAACTATGTTTATTGCAGCATTATTTACCATAGCTAAGATATGGAACCAACCCAGATGCCCCTCAGTAGATGAATGGATTAAGAAAATGTGGTATATATACACAGTGGAATTCTATGCCTCCATCAGAAAGAATGACATTGCCCCATTTGTTAGGAAATGGAAAAGCTTGGAAAAAATTATATTAAGTGAAGTAAGCCAAGCCCAAAGAAACATAGGTCCCATGGTTTCCCTTATTTGCAATATCTAGTATATGTATGAGTCAAGCGGAAAAGGTCAGATAATGTGATGTTAGGAAAATGAACCCTTAGATATGTATTTAAATGTTTTTTTTTCTTTCATGCATTTGTTTCTAATGCATTTATAAGATTATTTCTTTGTTGCTTTGTATGTCCCTGCCCCACAGTATAACCCCTGCTTTCACTATATTTGATGTTGGTACAATCTGGAGGAGAAGGGGAAAAACAAGTCGTTTAAGGATAACTGTGGACCAGTTACAACAATGAGAAGTACAAGTTGTCATGTTGAAATCGAACTTTACAACTTTGGTGGGGGGGGAAGATGGGGGGGGGTGAGGGGAGGCTGCGAAGGGATGTGAAGGGTAAACAAAGGAGGAGGCTGCAATGCTTGATAAGAAATGTACTCATTATCTTGTCCATGTAATTGTAACCCCTCTGTACAGTGTGTTCACAATAAAAAATAAAAATTAAAAAAAAAGGAGGGCAAGGCTGGGCATTGGTGGCTCATGCCTGTCATCATAGCTACTCAGGAGGATGAGATCTGAGGATCACGGTTTAAAGCCAGCCTAGGCAGGAAAGTCCCTGAAACTCTTATCTCTAATTAACCATCAGAAAACCGGAAGTGGCACTGTGGCTCAAGTGGTAGAGCATTCACCTTGAACTGAAGAGCTCAGGGACAGCACCCAGACCCAGAGCTCAGGTCCCATGACCCCCCCCCCCAAAAAAAGGGGGATGGGGGCTAAAAGCATGGCTCAAGTGATAGGTACCTGCCAAGCAAGCACAGGATCCCAAGTTTAAACCCTGGTACCTGCAACAAACAAACAAAATGTTAAATTGTATAAACCTTCAAAGAAAATCACTAATTTGGTTACTTAGTGCAAGTATGAAATCTTTTAAATTTGAATGTAGAAAAAGCTCCTACCCCTAAGGTTCATCATCACCTCAAGCCTGTGATCCAAATTTCTGTGCTAAGTACAGTCAGAAAAAGCTTTCACTTGCCATTTGTTTTAATCACCTCTCTTTTACTGAGGGTAAAATTTGAAGTGGTAGTAGGTAAGTAAGTATAGAAAGAAATACAAATAAACAAATTCTTCTGTGGAGTCTATCACAGAAAAAGCAGAACCAAGATTTCCAATTAAGCTAATTATATAAAATTAGATATTTTTACTATTTGAAGTATTGTTTGTGTAGTTAAAAGTTAAAGTTATAAGTTAAAAGCTTATGAAGAAACCACAAGCTTGATGGAAACAATTTTATAATGATATGTGTGGCTTAGTGTATACTACTGTTGTGATTATATTTTGATTTTATTATTTGGAGTTAGTAACTTTCTATACTGGCTTACATTTGTGCTATTGTTTCTGTTCAGATTTTGCAATGTCTCGGCACTGTGATAAAGGTTTTTCTTATGATTAATAGGCATTGAGCTATAGTTTTATTAAAATGATTTGTAGCATGAAATTTACTTGGGCATATTTCTTTTATATTCTACTTTGAAAAGAAATTACTGGAAATTTAAGTAGAGTCAGAGTTATTGAAGGGCCTCTATCAGGCTACTTCAGCTTTCTTTAGTGACTTAACTGATTGGCTTTCTGATTCCTAGTGTTTAAACATCCATTTAATTAAAAGATACTTTTTATTAGCTATGTAATTTGGATAATCTTCATATCTTTTTAGCTAGTTACCCATTCCAAAAGATGTGATAAAATTGTGTAGAGTTGAAATGTTTTTAGTCTTTTCTATCCATGTACTATACTTTTCTCAGTGTTCATCATATAAATTATTTATGTTTAATGTCTAGTCTCCCTGTCTTGAAGCTATCTGCGCTTGACACAATTTGCACTCAGTACCTGCTGAATGGATTAATTAGTGAATAAACGACAGCTCCTTGTTTATAAGCTTTGTGGATTTCTTATAATCCAAATATTCATGTAATTCTTGGATAATAGCCATTTTCATTACATTTTTGCAGATTGCCAGCCACAGTGGCTATGTGCAGATTGACTGGAAGAGAGTTGAAAAAGATGTAAATAAAGCAAAAAGACAGATTAAGAAACGAGCAAATAAAGCAGCACCTGAAATCAACAACATAATTGAAGAAGTAAGACAGTATTTCATTTTGGATTTGTTCTTGCTGTTGTTAATGGATCTCAGTAGAAAATATAACTGGGGATTGCCTTCTTTTAAATAAAATGGTGTTTTCTAGAGTGCTAGGTAGACACTGTGATCAAGCCACCATTTAAATCAGTCATATTTTGATGTTAGACATAGGTTTCCCCCTGCCTGTCTCCTACCCATTTGGATCTGCATGTAAAAGCTGGCAACATTATTCTCCTAAAAGCTTTCCTCTCCTTTTCTAAATGTTTATAAGTGTGTGTGTGTGTGTGTGTGTGTGTGTGTGTGTGTAAGGAAAACTTTTTTCTTGAGGCAGATAGTTTGAAAATATATATTTTGTTTCAATTAACATTATTAATATATTAGTTATATATGGTTAATACATATATTATGTGTATTTTGCCTCTTTATCCCTTGTGTTCTTTTTAGAATTGAATGTACTCTTGGCTTTCCTTTTTTTTTGTAATCCTCCCTTCAACATTTTATTGAAAAAATTTTCAATCAGTTGAAAAGTTGAAAGACAAAGTGAATACCCAAGTACCCTTCACATATTTACTAAATTATTCATGTTCTGTTGCATTTGCTTTATCTGTATATGAATAAAATTTACTCCTTTTTTGCCAAATTATCTCCCCACATATCTACCAAGAATATAGATATTCTCTTACACAACTACAAGTACTATTATTAATCCAAATAATTTAACATGATACAATTTTTTCTAATATATGCTTCCTATTAAAATTTTCTTTCTGGGGCTGGGAAGGTGGATCAGTGGTAGAGTGTTTTCCTTGCATGCATGAAGCCCTAGGTTTGATTCTGAGCACCACATAAGCAGAAAAAGTCAGGAATGGCACTGTGGCTCAAGTGATAGAGTGCCTGCCTTGAGCTGAAGAGCTGAGGGACAGCACCCAGTCTGAGTTCAGGTCCCACAACCAAAAACAATTTTCCCTCAGAATATCTTTTATGTCCTTGTTTCACAACCAAGATTTGTGTATTGTATTTGTCATTTCTCTCCAGAGCAGGGATGGGGAATAGTTAGCTAGAGGGCCTTTGAAATCATTTGGTATACAATAAGCAAATGAGCAGACATGTATGCCTTTTGTATGCTTCTCATCTGCTCAAGACTGCCTGCCTGTGTTGGTAATTTTGTTTGTTTATTTGTGCTGGTACTAGGGCTTGAACTCCAGGCCTTACATTCACACTTGGCTTTTCTCTTCAAGACTGGCCTTCTACCACTTGAGCCACACCTCCACTTCCAACTGTTTGCTGGTTAATTGGAAGTAGCCTCAGATTTGTCTGCCAAGGCTGGTTTAGAACTGTGATCCTTAGATCTCAACCTCCTGAGGAGCTAGGATTACAGCCATGAGCCAACATTACCTGACTCGTACTGATAATTTTATGTGGCCTATGAAATGATATTATAAATATCCAAATGGCCCTTGGCAGAAAAAAGGCTTCCCACCCTTCCCTAGAGTTTCCTTTTTAAACAGTTCTCTTATTTGAAGTCCTCTTTCCCCTTCCCCTTCCCCTTCCCCTTCCCCTTCCTTTTCCCCTTCCCCTTCCCTTTCCCCTTCCCCTTCCCCTTCCCTTTCCCCTTCCCCTTCCCCTTCCCTTTCCCCTTCCCCTTCCCCTTCCCTTTCCCCTTCCCGGTCTCTCTCTTTCCTCCCCTTTTTCTATTTTTGATTGTTTGCTAAGCAGAACCTTTTATAGTCTGACTTATTTTCCTCTCTCTCTTTTGTTTTTGTTTTGTGCAGTTCTAGGGCTTGAACTCAAGGCCTGCTGTCCCTGAGATTTTGTGCTCAAGGCTAGTGCTCTACCACTTAAGCCACAGTGTTACTTCCAACTATTTTTTGTGCTTAATTGGAGATAAGAATTTTGTAGACTTTCCTTCCCAGTTTGTCTTCCAACTTTGACCTGAGATCTCAGCCTCCTGAGTAGCTATTACAGGCATGAGCTACTGGCACCCTGCTCTTTTTGTCTTTTTTTTTTTTAAAAAGACTTTATTAGTATGTATTACTTATATAAGCAGAGTTTCATTGTGATTTTTTTCTATACATGCAGACAGTATATCCCATCAACCTCACCCCCTCTTGAATTTTTCTAATAGCTTTCTCATGATTTTGTCAAAATGATTTATTATTGTAGACTTTTTACTGGCAAAATGAACTATTAAATATCATTTTGCTGGTATGGCGATTTATTAACTCATATGTATTAGTAGCTTGATGAGTGGACATTTTATATCTGTCCTATATTCAGATTTCTTTTTACTTGGAAGATTTTTGCTACACAGATATCTATTGTCTTAGTAGCCAACAAGGGTATGGGACCTGATTGTGGTCTCTGGGTCCTTCAGTTTGTGAAAGACAGATCTGGAATCTTTTGTGGTTTGGTGCTAGCAGTAGTAGGTTAAAAACTTTTAGATGACTATTAAATTAAGGTAAATAACTGTGAATGTTTAGCTTCAGATTCAATCATTAGAGTATTTTTGAAATTTGTGTATTTTTGTTGTGATAAAGCATATGTAACAAAATTTGCTATATTTTAACCATGTTTTTATGTTCAGGAACATCAAACACATTCACTCTTCTCTACGATTGTTAATGCCATCAATTTGTAGAATTTTTATTTATTTATTAATTTATTTTTGGTGGTACTAGGGTTTGAAGTGAGGGCCTTGCATTCACTAGGCAAGTTCCCTACCACCTAAGCCACAACCCTTCACCTTAATTTTTGTCATTTCAAACAAACTTGATTTCCGTTAAATACTAATTCCTACAAATGTCCCTTCTTTTTTGGCTTTAGTAACATCCATTCTGCTTTCTGACTCTGTATTTGATAATATATAAGTAGTAGTATTCATATGTTCTTTAAAAAAATTCTCTTAAAGTAGTATCTTAAGGTTCATCCACATTGTAGCATAATTAAGAGTATTCTTGTTGAAATTTACTTTGCTTTGTTTTAGGCAACAGAATTTATCAAGCAGAACATTGTGATATCCAGTGGATTTGTGGGAGGCTTTTTGCTAGGCCTTGCATCTTAAGGACATGAATGTTCTACCTTAGTGGATCCAACTGTGAGAAGAAAAGTGGTGGCCACTGGGTGATCTCTCAACAGAACTTGCCACCAGTCTCCAGAGTGAGGAGAAATAACTAGCTGGACAATACCAAATTCACAATTTAACATTTTGCCATCTGAAGTTTGGCAAACTAGTATCCGCTGTAAAACAACCTGTGTGGTATGTGAACCATAGTATTCTTGAGCAAAACATGGCTTTTAATCAGGTATTTCATTTAATTTGCATTTGTTTAGAACTGGCTATAAAATATTACTATTGGATGTAGATGATACATATAGTGAGAGGAAATCTATTGCTTTTATTGCCCAATGAATATGATCCTCTTTTTAAGTTGTTCTTCATTGTGCTTTCTTGTGTATGATCAGTAATTAAAATTTGTCCTTACAGTTTTCTTTTTGTAAAAAACAAACAAACAAACTGAAGAACCTTTTGTGGAAGGCTTTACGAATAGAATGATTAAAGATAGCAATTAGACTTTAGATTTTTTTTTTTTTGCTGTATTTCTTACTTTGCTCATACAATAATTGTATATGTGAAAGAAGATTTTTCTGAGGAAGTAGTGCATGTCTAAAGCTCTTTTTCTTTTATTGTCTATTTTAAAATATCTTTTTGTATGTTACCTTCTATTATATATATATATATATATTTGTCCTAGTAGCCTTGGCAGAGCTAATTATTTTGTGAGTATATATACTTGACTCATTGATTTATTTTATGAACTTCAAGTGCACCGCATTTTTCATTTCCAAAACTCCTTTGGCCCTTCATCGTGAAGAAACAATTGCTTTGAACTACTTAGTAGTATATTATAAATTTGTTATCTGAAGAATCATTATTTTCTGTATAGTCATGAAATTGTAGCCTAAGCAGAATTGTCTCTTGATCAAGTCTGAAATGTAAGAGTAAGGCTTTCAGGCTTTGGTAGCATTATGTTGGTTGAGCACTAGACCAGTTTACTGGTTTTTCAGGACCAACATCACACTCCCTCAGAGCCTTCTTTGCCTCCCCTCCTGCCTCCCTCAAAAAAAAAAAGCTTTCTATATTGTTAGTTTTGTCTGTATACCTCTAGGTGGGAAATGGGACTAACAGCAAAACCATGTAGATTGAAGTTTTCAGATTTGAAAGACTACAGATATTCAGATCATCCATCTCTTTTTGATAGAATGTTCCCATGATGTGTTCTCTATATTGTAAACATAGTATGTTTCATACTTTCAATACTGGTACAGGCTGTGTACTTGCATTATCATGAGACTCTAAAATTGAATGTGGAATCCATCTTTAATTTCTTGCTTTATTCTCATTAGTGCCTCAATATGATGCTAAATAAAACTCAGAGTTTCTTAATATGAAGTGCTTTTGCTTATAAAGACTTGCTTTTAATTCTTTGAGCTTTTCTCTGTTTCTACCTAACCAACCTTTCTTTATATGGCTATGGAATTAAATGGAAAAAAGTGTGGTCAGGGCATGTTAGATGGAACCTCACCCAGATTCAGTGAGCCACACCTGAGTGATCCAATATGGTGAGGAAAACCACTTTAAGGAGATCCAGGCACCATTTTTCATTCTAAGAATATTTATACTGTCTAGGTTGTGTGTGTGTGTGTGTGTGTGTGTGTGTGTGTGTGTGTGTTAGTCCTGGGGCTTAAACTCAGGGTCTTGCTGCTGTCTCTGAGCACCAAGAGTGGTGTTCTACCACTTGAGCCAGAGTTCCACCTCTTGTTTTTTTTGGGGGGGGGGAGGGTAATTTATTGGAGATTAGTCTCATGGAATTTCTTGTCTGAGCTGGCTTCTAACTGTGACAATCTCAGATCTCAATCTTCTGAATAGGATTACAGGCACAAGCCAGTTGTCACCTGGCTTATACTGTCTGTGTTTTATGATACAGTAGGAATGAAATGAAGTACTTAAAATGCCCTCAAGCTTTCAACTAAAGTGACATTAAACTATTCCTATATATGATAATATAAGATAACCTGGTATATGATGTAGTGGCACAGATTATAGTAGAGATGAACTACTTTTTTTTTTTTTTTAATTTTATTTTATTTTATTTGAGAACATACTGTACAGAGGGGTTACAATTACATGGGCAGGATAATGCATACATTTCTTACCAAGCATTGCAGAGTCCAATTATATGAATGAAAACAGAAAAATATAGAATATTGTTTTTACCTGTGCATTTCTAATTATCTTGTGATAATAGAAAATATATGTATGCAAATGCAATACACACAGTGCTCAACATCCTCTCCCATCTCTTTAGTGCCCTTTGTTCTGTCTCACATCTACTATTTTTTTCCTTTGAAGTTGGACACCACTTGAAGTGGTCATATGTGTGCATTGTTGTCTAGTTTGTAAAGCATATATGTGGTACAGGTTAAGTTTCCCTTAGCTGAAATACTTGGGGGCAGAAGTATTTCAGGTATCAGATTTTAGAATATTTTCTTATACATAATGAGATATTTTGGTGTGAACAATGAATTTTCATCTAAACAAAATGCATATATTTTATATAACTTATACACATAGCCTAAAGGTGTGTGTGTGTGTGTATGTGTATATGTGTGTGTGTGTGTGTGTGTGTGTGTGTGTGTGTGTGTGTGTGTGTGTGTGTGTATAAAATTGTGCTAGTCCTGGGGCTTGAACTCAGGGCCTGGGCACTATTGTTGAGACTCTTTCCTCAAGGCTAGTGCTCTAGCACTTGAGCCAGAGCTCCATTTCTGACTTTTTCTGAGAAATTTATTGGAGATAAGAGTCTCACTGACTTTCTTAGCTTTGAACTGCAATCCTTAGATCTCAACTTCCTGAGTAAGATTACAGGTATGAGCCACCAGTGCCTGGCTATACTGTTTTTAATAATCTCATATATGAAGTAAAACTTTGTGCTTCACAACTATGGGGGCTTGGAGGGTTTTTTTTTTTTTAAATCTTGAAGACCCTAAAAAATGATTATGTATATTTTTTTTGTTGGTTATGGAGCTTGAACTCAGGGCCTGGGTGCTATCACTGAGCTTTTACTCAAGACTAGAGCTCTACCACTTAAAAAATTATCTTTAAGTAGTTGTACAAAGAAGTTCCCATTCTATACAACAGTATATGAATACAAAGTGTGATAACATTGTCACCCATTGCTCCTAATCCATCCCTTCTCTCACTTTTCTTTTCTTCTTTTTTTTTTTAAACTGAGATTAGGTGATTACATAAATTTCACATATTTTGTAGTATTGTGGAATAGTGATACTTAAAGTCACAAACACATTTTAACCTTCACAAGGCAAATTGTCATGATCACGGTCTATAAAGTTTGTGAATTCTATGAACTTGGACAGTACAATTATTTCTTCTACATCAGGTGATATTTACATTTCTTTCCTTTTGCTTAGTGTAAGCTGTTCCCTCTTTGCCTCTCATTCCTCCCTTCCCATCCCTGTCTTTGGGTTGGCTTAGTTCATTTTCATCTATGTTCACTGCGAGCTCTACCACTTTGAGTCACTCCACTTCTAGTTTTCTAGTGGTAAATTGGAACTAAGAGTCTCACGGATTTTCCTGCCTGGTCTGATTGAACCACAATCCTCAGATCTCAGCCTCTTGAGAAGCTAGGATTACAGGCACGAGTCACCAGGGCCTCCCACTTGCTAGGCAGGCAAGATTATTGCTTAGCCACACCTCTCATCTGCTTGTGTTCAAAACAGGGTCTCACTTCCTGCCTAAGAGCATACCTGTGCACAGTCTGCCTAGGTTACACTTCCTATTTTAGCTAACATAACATGCACTTGCTACTGTAGCCAGCTTTTTGTTGAGAAGGTATCTCCTGAATTCTGCCCAGGCTATCTCCAAGCTGTGATCTTTCCTACCTCAGCTTCCCAAGTAGGTAGGATTATAGGCATAAGTTAATAGACACTTGGCTCATATTCCTGCATTTTGACTATGACTTGTCACATGAGTTCAAACATGGAATTTTCCACTTATGGCATTATGTGTGTGCTAAAAATGAATCCGATTTTGACCTGGGTACTTGTGGCTCATGCCTGTAATTTTGGCTTCTCAAGAAAAGTCTGTGAAACTCTTACATCCAGTTAGCCAGCAAAACACCAGAAGCAGAGGTGTGGCTCAAGTGGTAGATCACCAGCCTTGAACAAAAAAGCTCAGCCTTAAGCAAAAACACTCAGGTCCTGAGTTCAAGCCCCAATATCAACACCAAAACAAAATGTATCAAGTTGTGAGGGCATTTTGGATTTTGGGTTTTAGGATTGGGGTCACTCACCTAATAGATATTGCTTTACTCATGATGATATTCAATTGAAACTTTAGGTAATAATTCCTAATTTCTTGAAATGAAAGGTGATTACAATAGAATATCTCTTTCCTCCTGATTTTTGTTAAATTATAATTACTGTTAATAGTGCATTCTAATGAAAGAATTCTATATAGTCATTAGTGCAGTCTAGAATTATATGAATTGATTTAGAAAAAGTTAAGGATATAGCTCACTTGCAGTAGCATGCTCCAATTAGCCAGCAAAATGCCAGGCCCCATGTTTCATCCTCAATTCTGAAAATGAGAACAAAAGACGGAAGAAGAGTGAAAGAGAAGAAAAGGAGGGAAGGGAGGGAGGGAGGAAGGGAGAAAGAGAAATAAATTTATCATGTTAGTGATAAAACCAGGTTACAGTTTGATCCTTTTTTCTTTTTCCTTTCTTTCTTTTTTTTTGGTGCCAGTACTATGGCATGAACTCAGGACCTGGGTGTTATTGCTTAGCTTTTTGGTTCAAGGTTGAGTCACAGCTCTGCTTCTACCTTTTTGCTGGTTAATTGGAGATAAGAGTCTTAGGGACTTTCCTACCTTGGCTGATTTTGAACTGTGATTCTCAGTTCTCAGCCTCCAGGAGTGAGCCACCAGTGCCCAGTATTGATCCCATTAAAAAAATTTTTTTTGTGGGTCATGGGGCTTGAACTCAGGGCCTGGGTGCTCCCTTTGAGCTCGTTTTGCCCAAGGCTAATGCTCTACCACTTTTAGCCACAGTGTCACTTCCAGCTTTCTGGTAATTAAGTGGAGATAAGAGTCTCACAGAGGGCTGGGGAAGGTGGCTTGGTGGTAGAGCGCTTGCCTTGCATGCTCAAGGCCCTGGGTTCGATTCCTCAGCACCACATAAGCAAAAAGAAAAAAGCTGGAAGTAGCGCTGTGGCTCAAGTGGTAGAGCACTAGCCTTGAGCTGAAGAGCTGAGGGACAGCGCCCAGGCCCAGAGTTCAGGCCCCATGACCGGACCCCAAAAAAAAAAAAAAAAAGAGTCACAGAGTTTCCTGCCTGGGCTTGTTTTGAACTTCATTTTTAGATCTCAGCCTCCTGAGTAGCTAGGATTACAAGCATGAGCCACCAGCACCCAGCTTGATCCCATTTTTTAAAAGAAGAATTCACAGGTGAGTGAGTGTAAGTATACACACAAATGCTCATTGTGGTTATCTCTTGAAAAGGTGGTATGCAGGATTTTCATTTCATACTTTCAGTATTTTTGTATTTTCTGGAGTCTTAACAGTTAAATTACGTTAATTTATAATTAGAACAAGGTTTTTTTTGAATCAGGGATAAGAATTTATTGCTATTTTAAAGGATATTTTCATTTCAATTTTTGTGCTTCATTCAGTGAACTTATTTTTGAGTTTTTAATCAAAACACTTGGATATAATTCAAGAAATCAAATAGGACTATAAGGCTTATAGAAAAGAACATGAGTTTGTTCTACCTCTCTCCAGCATAATGACTTCCTTCTTCCTTCAGAGAAGTTTTAATTGTGTTAGTTCTTTTTCTTGTTATTTTTTAGAATTTTTGTTTGTTTTTTGAGATGTGCTTGCTATGTAGCTAGCTCAGGCTGACCTTAAACTCTTGGTCCTCCTGCTTTAGCCTCCCAAATGCTGTGATTATAGACCTGTGTCTCCAAGCCTGGCCTCTTCTAGACTTTCTGTTATTATAAATGACTTGACTTGGACTTTCTGTTATGGTAGACGTGGATTTATTCTATAACATCTCCCTTTTCATGTCCTTGTACCAATTAATTAAAGTCCTGCAAAGTTTTAAACCTTATGACAAATACTGTTTACTGTTGAATTAAAGTACAACACTCTGCAGGTCCCTTTTTATGTATCTAGCTAATCTAGCCTTTAGCTCATCCTGTCAATAGTTCTGGGGTAAAAAGGGGAGCACTATAGCCAACAGAATAGTGACCCTGAAAAGTATCCATATCCTTTTTTTCCTGAATCTCTGAATATGTTAGGTTACAGGCAAGGAGAATTAGGCTACTGATGGAATTAAGAATGTTACATCAGCTGCTCTCAAAGATACGTATATGTAT